ACGTACATGCATCCGTTTTACGTTAGCGAGCCGTCACGGTGTGCCAGGATAATGTCCGGATTCGTATTCCCACTTGGTTCCCGGATCATGCAGATCCATCTGCTATTATCGGCAAATCCGCCTATCGAAAATGTGATAGCCGACTTTCGCACAATGTAAATCAAATCGCACACGCGCGGCTTGGCGCACAATGCATCTATAAATGCTTTCGCTTTCTTGTTACATAGACATGAGATATAGAGTCGTAAAAGTCAATAGCGTGAACTTAAACTACGGGAAAGGAATAGTTGTTGCTGACCAGAATCGGCGCATGATTTTCTAGCGCATTTAATGGTACGAAAGGACATTATGATAAAAGAAAAATTGTTACAAGTTCAAAGATCTCAGTGAAAAGCAATTTGCTAGCTGTACGTGACTGAAATGCAGCATATAACCCCTTTTTAGAAAATCGAGACTGAGGTCGCAAAACTAGGAAGAAAACTTTCTCGATGTAAGAATATCCTGATAATTCGAAATTGTTATGATGTAGGTAAATAACGTTTTCTGATAAATGACGTGGTGACAAAGCGTCTCAGCTTCGATATTATTTGTCGTCATTTTGAGGTCAAAATTGACAAATAACGTGCTGCAGACAAAAATAGAGAGACTGCTATATAATAATATAAAATTCAAAATTCTCATTTTTACTCACACACCTTTTATATTGACATTCTATAATAGTGGTGTGGTATAAGAGTTATTTCAATTGTGGCGCGTTTAAACCGCCGGCAATTACCGTTAAAATTACACGATACTTACCGGGGCACCGAAATTCTGCATTGCGGCAGGCTCCATTATTTCCAGGCGTTGCCGACTATAGAGTGAGAGTGTTAGTACGCGCTCATTGTGAGCCGAACATAATGCCAGCGACTCTTCAAAACCACCTGCGCGCGGCTTGGTAGATTTGCTCAGGTGTGTGCCGATTATGAGCGTGCACGTATTTGTTCACAAAATGAAAAGAATCGCGTACGATTATTTATCCCAGTCGGGTATCGGTCCTTCAACGTCGACTCGTGTTTCATTGATATAGAAAAGTCTATGTATGCGCAGACAAATTTATTACTCTAAAACAAAACATATTTATTTAAAAACAAAAAATTTATTTAAATAATCAATATCGAAGAAAATTCGTTAAATTTAAATTGGAATATTTGCGTGGCAGAGAAATGAATATATGCAATTTTACATGATTCTTGCAATTTAAGCAAATGCACCAGTTTGACAATACTAAATAAATGATCTTTCGGTGAATACATATCCGTAATTGCGATAAATTATTACAATTGCAGTAACAAATGCACATTACACACTTAATGAAAATTATGGCCGTGCTATCATGTTAGTTCCGGCTAAAGTTTGTCGACCTATTCTTGCCATGCTTGTGGGAGGAAGGGCGATCTGTAAATTTGCCGTAGCTTGGTCGACGAGACCGCAATTTTGGCCGGACGACCATAATTAAACGAGGGAAAACTGGATAATTGATTAGGTATGGGTAGTCTGGAATCGCCAATATTGTCGGATACCAGCACATAAATCAAACATACGTGGATATATGTATATAAACATACACTTTATTATGATAATTTATAATTGCTGTATTATTCACAATGAGTATGAGTAATAACGTATCGTAATTAGATATACAAACTGGTCTATCGAGTAGTAACCTAGACTAATTAAATTGCGGCTAATTATACACGGCCCCACGTTCAATTTCTAATGCCAAACTTTCGCATTTCAATATCGCGAATTTTCCAATTTTACACCTTTTTAAAAATGTTCTTTCGTCTGTGCTGTTAAACGGATCGATAATATTAATTATTTCATGATTATACATTTCACCCGTTAGTTCCGTTTGATAATAACACTAATTGGCTGTTGGATTTGTCGATCGGCCAAACGTCCTGATAAAAAAAAAGGGATTGTTAGAATAAAAATAAAATATGTATTGTAATATATATCGAATTATATTTGCTGACATTTACATAGAAAGTACGGGGCTCAATTCCTGCAGCTATATGAATTGCAAATTATTTTTAACCGTCGGATTTTTTCAACGTTTAATTACCATTACGTAATATCACAAAATTGTCTTCCCTAATATAGCAGAATAGACGTATCTGTCACGAGTAATGTAATTTTTATATATGCAACTATGCTATCTCATGGAATTCATAATGAAATGCAGTGATGCTAAATGCTTATTTTCCATTAAAATTGGAGAAAAGCCTAAGGCTTAAATGTACGAAAAATAGAATACTCAGCTCACTTCCATACCTTGTATTAAATGTATTAGCTTCCACGTATTTTATTTCTTACCTTAGCTAATGAGCAACTCTCCTATGACCTCTTATTTTAATAGCTTCATTCATATGTTTTCTACGAGGAGAAAGCTTGATTCCTCATCTCTTAATTATAATGATAGTATATGCTTGCGCAAAATTTTTGCAACTCTGATTGACGCTGGCCGATTAACGCATAATTTACACATTATGTTAACGTTTTTATTAACTAAATTTTTTTCCAATTTGATTGATTGTTAATATAGGATAATATATAAAAAAATCAAATTTATATATTCACCTACATAGAATCTAAAAGTATTAAATAAATATAATTTATATGTTGTAACTCTGATATTAGATACAAATTAAAACGAAGAAATTTGATATATTCTATTTAATGTTTATCACAAAATAAAATACTGCAATAAAGATATCCGAGCTGCAAATAATAAACAAGAGTCGCAGACAGAAAAATATAGTAACTGAAAATGTAACTTCATACATATGCATTATCATTTCCATATACCATTATAGTTTAGATCTTATTCTCGTTTCGTTGCATTTTTCCCATTATTCGCAGCGTTCTGCGAAATACCACAGGCCGTTGTGTCCGGATGGCCAAAATTTATTTACTCGAGTTTGTTATAACGATATTACATGACAATAATTTATAGTAGAGAAGTTTAATAAGCATCGACAAAATTTTCGATGTAACATTTCTTTTTTTGTATACAGGTATATACATTGGTCTTCTATTAAGTTTTGACAAAGTTTTGCAAGTATTCGTAAAGTAACATACAAATTAAATTCGTCACATTGTATAATAATATTGACAGATTATATTTTATTTGTTTTGCTACGTTATATGCTGAATTATTAATCACAAAATAAAATTGGTTTAATTAAATTAATTATTTTTAACTAAATTATTTTAAATGTTTCCAGCAATATTTTATTTAATTCTTTTATTTAATTTCAATTTTCTTTTATTTATTACAGTCAAAGTAATATAATTTTGATATTAATATTTAATCAATATAAAAAATACTACAGAGATAATCTCTCTCTTTCTCTTTCTCTCTCTCTCTCTCTCTCTCTCTCTCTCTCCCTTTTTCATAAATGTTGAAAAAAGCTTTCATAGAAATCTTTTTTACGATATACTTGCAATAGAACATTGCCGTACCAAGCTCATCGAAGAATGTATTTCTTTAAAATTATTTGTTTCTTTAATTTTCATACAAAAGCCATACCAAATGCCACAGATTAGCGGCACATTCATTACCCTAGTATTGGCACCGTGTATTTACGTGCGTAAAATTGCGTATCTACGAGAGAGGAACACAAAGTACGATCCGAGAAAAAGAGTCTCAAAAGTATATGCGTATTCTCTTCTCATGCATTGTGCTATTGTCATATTTTATTATGAAAAAGATAAAATTCATCATAATTTCATTTTTCGTGTACAGCTTTCATCTTCGGCGTAAAAAAAAATATTATATCTCAAAGAATGATTGTGTATGTAAAAAAATAAAATGTTAATTTTAACCTAATGCCGTATAATGAACTTTCTGAGATATGCAAAAATGTTAAAATAACAAAATGTTAATTTTAACACTTTTGCATTTCTCAGGAAGTTCACTATATCTCAGTTAAAGCTAATATTTTATTTCTTACAGTGTATGTATGTGTATGCGTATGTGTGTGTGTATGTATGTGTTTATTGGTAATAAAAATTATAAATGTTTATGCGTACATGAAAACAAGGTAAATTCTCTTTGAAAACAAGATAAATTTATTTTTAATATAATGATAACCTGACACTCATATAAATCAAGTATTTTTGAAATAATTGTAATTTCGCTGACTTTTCGAACGAAACTTTTATGTCGAGAGATATTTTTCACGAATGCAATCCTCAATTTTTTATACTGTTTAAAATACTTCGTCTTTCTGGTATTACATATACAACGGTGCAGCGATAAAGCTGCACCGAAACGGACATCGTAAAAACGTTGAAAGCACACACGAGATACAGCAAATATTTATAGAAACACGTCGTACTATATGTAACTATATTACCAATTACAATTATCACGTTTCAAAAGTATAGGTAGATACACGCTTGAATGCACACGGCTCTAAGTTATATCTGATTAAGTACGCGTTTATTAACCAACTTGCTATAATCGTTTATCGCACACAGTTAAGTTCGCTCGAATCTCCCTTGGTCCTCTCTCGTTAAATATTCTTATATTGAATTTAAAAGTGGCAAAATAATTTTCAAGGAATTTAATTCTAGCATTCGATTCTCACCATTAGCGCACATTGTCATTTGTCCTGGCGAACGATTTCAGAACGTTATATCGACGTTCGAAGCCAAAGATTATCTACGGAGCAGGCATCTGTTTCTTTATTTTTTGTTTTTATTAGCGACTTTATTTTTTCGAAGAGAACCGCGACTCGCATCGTCGCTGTCCGATCGACAGGATAAACAGGATGCCACGAAGAACGCGAGGACACATATATATAAACGATAACGATATATGCGTACCTTCTTAAATTTCGTTATCGTGATTGATCCGCGACAGGTCGGGCTTGCGGTCCTAGATAGCACACAAACACAGCATACGAAAAATATTCAGGCATTCCACTATAATAGGACTCTCTTCGTCGCTGACGATCGTCGGACGAGGCTGCTACGCGGTCGAAGTATCGCGCTTCTTCCTTCATCTTTCACGGCCTGTTTTCAGCTGGCGAACGAGCAGGAGGTAGACCCGTTCCCCAATTGGGGCGGACTAAAGCGTCTCCAGAAAATTCTGCACGAGCAGGGTGGGCGCGGTTACACGCGTCTTCCCTTTTCTTGGCTGTCTGCAAGTACGCACGTTACAACGCGGCGTCCGTTGCAGCTGTTCCGACTTGTTGCTGTCTTGTTCGAGTTGCACCGACACGCTGGCCACGCGCGGTCTCGAACATCCATTCTCCTACAACAGACAATTGCCGATGCTCCAGCGAAATTTGCGATCTCTCTGTGATTTACAGATTACTGCGGCGTACGTTGTACGGACGGGTAAACTGGGGTAAACTGCTACGCGTAACTCACTCACGATTGTTCATGATGAATGCGAAGAACGTTATTGATATACGAAATTAACGCGATATTAAACGATTATTACATTTGAAGACACATAACTGCAAAAGTTAAATGGTTAAATTACATATAGTAATGATACGATACATTAATTAATTAATAGTATTGCTTTTGAATACCGAGAGAATATGAGAACTTGAGAATATTAATGCTGAATATCAGTTTAAATACAGAAGTTTCTAGTTGAGCTAAATACAATTTCAGAATTATGTAACTTTGACAAATTTTACTCACTGTACACGTCATGCTTTTAGTCATGGCTAACGTTACTTTTGCGCGCACCCAAATATTTCAAATTCTATCATGTCACTATGATTTATAGTTAATTTTGATTTATGATTTATGTATATGTGTGATCAAAATTTAAAGTATGTGCATAATGTACGTTTATATGCTTTCTTTGATACGTACAAATTCGTTGAACAAAAAAAAAAAGAGAAAAGGCTGCATTTTTCCTTTGCGTGACTTCAGAAAAGTATTCTCATTTCTAAAGCTTTATAAATGTTCTAGCAAAAAGGCAGCTTTATTATCAGTGTGCATGTGATTATCACAAAAGCGATTTAATCCAGACAAAACGATAAGAGGATAATGTGTGGCTAAATGTGCAAGTACTTAAATCTTTAATGAGTAGAACAAGTCATTCTTGAGAAAACTAAGTTGAAATGGGACCGGAATGATGAAAGACAGAAGAAAAGAGACTAAACGGAACTACATCCATTTAATCAGAATTATGGTATGACCAAAGAATCTTAATCAGTCTTGTAGAAACGAAAGAAATTCGCGCATCGTATCGTGCTAGTAATAACTTTTAAGATTATCCATTTTATGATAGACAAAAGTACTATTGTATTAAGATAGCAGACGGCAATATGAGAACTGAAACTTTGCTACTATACACACGATGCTCATATGACCGAAACTACTAACCGATATACAGAGATTCCGTTGATGTTGATGAGTCCTTTGACGAGACTCGCTTTGTAACTCCCACGCACGAATATACAAGTCTCCGCGATAGATGAAGCCTCCTCGTTTTGCTCGTAACATTAAATGCCATCTGAAACAAAGAGAAAAATAAAATTCCAGTGTTATAGCGTATTACATAATTTATATTCATTTGCTTTCGTGATTTGTATAAAATTGTGTTGCATAGCAAACTGTAAAAATATTTTCGTGAGCAAAAGCGTGCTTTTTTCTCAGAGGTCCATTCCTTAAATTATAGAAATGATCAATAATTGCTGGAGAGAATGAAGATTTATTTCCTCTTTATAAATTGAATCTCTTCCTATATTTCTCTCTTTTTCTCTCTATTTCTCTTTCTCTCTTTGCACATTTAAAATTTTCCTCGGTATAAATTTTCGCGCTGATGTAATTCCAGTATCATTATTCAACATCCAAAAGCACACTCCATAAAATAAATTCGTAAGTAACATACTCTTTTTTTACGCGTCACTTGTGCTCTAGTTTATCTCTGATCTTTCCACTTACGTCCGAACATCGTATTTATGAGGCGTAAAAGAGGAAAAGTTGATTGACGAAAATGATACCAATATTCGCTATCTTACGAGTGTATATATATATATATATATATA